AAAAAAAAACTTGAAGGTATCCAGCTGGAACAGAATAATGGAAGCCCCAGTAAACGAACGCAGAGCACAAAAGATGCCTGCTGCATCGGCAAACATTTACCAGATCCCAGAAAGCAAAAGCCACTTGCATCATGGTGACACTCCTACAGCGTGAAACTGAACAAAAATGATCTGACACAGCATTTTTCTTTTCGGTTGTGGAAAAGAAACTCGGGCATTTCTTCACTCACATCTGATCACACAAGGCTCACTTACAACAGCCACACTGCTCCGATACAGGCTGCCAAACGTCTCTCGCCGCTACTACGGACATCAACTCAGTCTTGCAAAATATTAAAATCGGGAACAATCTCTCTTTTTTCGGTTAGGGGAGGGTGAGGGGATGAAATGTAAGATCACAGGCATCGGAACCAAAATCAAGGGGAGACAAACGTTCACCACTGTTTTTGGGGATTCTTAGGACTTTAAAGTGCCGATCAATCTGTGTTTGAAAAAACAAACACCCCCTATAAAAAAGAGCTAAAAGAATTAACCATCAATGTCTCTTTCGGGTAGCAGGATTCAATCAAGTTTTAAATGGAATAAAGAATTTTGTGTAATTTTAAATATAAGCAAAAATAAGCACACATACTTAAAATTTAACAATGGTCACGATTTAAGTTTGCACATTACAGAATTTGATTTTGCTTTTTTAACCCAATTCAAGTGCAACCCAACTGAGGTTCCTAAAAAATAGACTAGATCAAAATAAATTTCTCTTGAAGTGTTGCAAATGCACAATTTTAATAGAAAAAATATTTTACTGTACCTGAGTGTACAATTTGAAGATATTACAAAGTTTTTAAATCAGCATTTTACTCAAAAACATTTTGTACAAATCTATTATTCTTAACTTTCTTTTTACTTCAGCTAAACATGAGCACAATTATATAATCCATATTCATTCTGCATATGAACAAGGAGCTTCTCTATTCTGCAGTGCCATTACAGAATAAATACAATTTTTGTTTTACTTTTCGTAAATCTTGTTTTACAAAACGTGCACCTAAAAGTCAGTCTCTTTGGTGGTCAAGACTAATGCGGTTAAGAGCTGAAACCAGTTAAAACTAGTTTTCAGTTTCGTATTAGCCCATTTACACAAAGGCAAAGTTGGAGTTCAGCAGCAACACGTTTTAAACATATGATCACATATTTCTCTTTGAAAAGATATACACAAGCATCTCTGGCCACTGTGATGAAGTAAAAGGCACACCACTCACGATTTAACATTAACAGAGTAGAAACCTTAACTCTTCCATATTCTAGAACACGAACTTGGACTTTTCTTCGTTCCATTTTCTTTTAAAGTGTTCATACTATGATTCAGGGCCAGAACACTCTTTTTCTGCTAAACCCAAGCTTCCCCAATATCATCATTAGCTATCACAGTCTTGAAGCTTCTAGGCTGCACCAACCCCCAATCAGTGCTGTGCGTGAGAAAAAGAAGGTCTCAGAAAGCAAAGGTAAAGTATAAAATGAAGATTCTGAGAAATAAAAATAAAAAAGAAGCCTTAACACCTTTTTTCCATCAGTGTTCTTAGTCCGTTACCACAATAGCAGTCTAGATCGCCTCGGACATCCATCAGCCGAATGAACACAAAACAGAAATACAGTAACAAGAAGAATAGAGGTTTTATAAATAAGTGTCTGCAGGATTAACAGAGAGGGACTGGGCGAAGATCATCACTCCTTGTACTCCATGAACTGCTGAAGTCTCTTTCGGTGCTCCGCAGACACCTCAACAGCGCTGTCGAGAGGAATGAAATCAGATGAATGACAAAGGTCACGAAAAGAAAAATAATATGAACCAGGGACACACGCCTCCAGTCCCGGAGTGGTGCATCACACCATGACTTACCCAGATCAGTGCTTCATATACCCGAGGTCCAAAGAGACCCATTTGACCTACTGGGGAGTGCACTACCGATATATAAACTTCCAATTGGGGTCCCTCAATCAATAACTAACTGGTAAACCGTTTTGAGACAAGGAACCAACATCCCTCAACATCTGAAGTTTCTGATGCGTTGTACTTTAAGCCAAAAGACCCGGAACAGCTTGATGCCGACCACAGCCTTGGCGCCCCCCTGCACACAGCTTTTTGACGGGCGAAGATACAAGACCGTTCTGGGTATACACGATGGGCATTCTCACAGGATGAAGACCTTCAAATGCTCGATGACACTCTGTATGTAAACCTGAAATCTCTTACTTCAAATGCTCTCCGAAGGTGACCGTTATCCTGTAGATGGCGGTTTTCAGAGAGGCCCGCAGGGCAAACCTCAGGGTCTTGTATGTAGTGTCCTCCAGGCTCCCTGAAGATTGAACCGGCTTGCTGGAGGCATGGGGCAACTTGAAGTGCTTGTCTACCGCCTACACAAGAGTAAAAACGAGCACCAGACTTTAAACTTCCTTGATTCCGCTAAGTTAGGACGAGTAACCGACCTTGATAGCAGAAAGCGCTTCATGCGCACATTACATCTTTGACTACGTGAGGCAAAAGGTGTTGAAGGCAGCCATTAATATAGCCTGCGAGCCTGCTCTGTAATTTATCAACCGATCATGACATTTATCAGGATCTGAAACACTCTGGGAGCTGGAACAGCACAGACCTAATCTGAACCTGAAGCAGAACGTGAAACCATTTCGGAAAAAATATTTCGGCGATTTTAACAATCTTATAACGGAGAACTACGGTCCTCTTAAGATAATTACATCTCGGCAATACTTCAGATTTATACTGGAATGAAAATGAGTCAAACAGACAGAGAAATGCCACTTTAAGGGAATAAATATAAGGTATTGCACATCACCTTATTCTACAGTGCAGCTAGCATAAATTATTTCCGATTTAAAAACCCTTTCAAGCTTACTATTGACATGTGTGCAGACAAAAGAATAATGGAACACAATTTTCGTTTGACAGAATTCTTCACTATTTTGACCACATTTGCCCCTTAACATCCAAGCATCCTTTTTGAATTCCTCTGCCCCGTTCATTGACTAACCTCCAGCAAGGTCAGCATCGTACTGAGGATGTTGGGAAATGTAGTCTGTACAACCCCAAACCTGTCCTCTGTGTAAGAAGCAGCAACTAAATTAGACAGTCCTGTAAAAGAAGGAGAAAACAAGTGAGATTCTAAACATTCTTCTGCATCTCTAAGGAGTAACAGTACTGAGCAAGTCAATCATCTTTTGGCGAAAGAAAAGCTACGGTAGAGATGATATATGTTCTACTAACAACTCAGCTTGGCGCATGCAATTTGAAGTAGTTTTTTGGATTGAATAATACCTTGATCCATATTTGTTCAAATCTGTGTTTCTCAGCCTTTTCTGTTCTATGGCACGTTTACATAAATATAAAAATTCTGAAGCACCGCACTCCACTCCTCACACACACATATGTATTACAGGTCAAAGCACATTATTTACATTGTAAATATAACTTGTTTCCATCTTTAATCTGAGTTTGCCTTGCTGTGCACAGTCGCATTGCCCCGGCAAGAAACAGCCGACGTTGAAACACGGGGCAGCGTGATCTGAGGACGTTCTCAATTTTTAGACTTTGTCCGACAAAGTGGAAGACCTGTGAATCGTGTGGCTTGAAAGATCGATCTTAAGAGTGTGGCCGCGCGCATATAGACACCAACTGCGCAACACCACACTTTGGTCACTCCACATAGCTCATATATAACAAACTTCTAAAAACAATCGGCTTGTTCCAAAATTCCAAGGGAAACACGGGGCACAACTTTGCTTAAAAAAAAAAGATAATAGATGCCATTCATGTAGAATGTGGATCAAGAACTGATAAATCTATTTCTAAACACAAATAAATAAAAATTAACACATTTAAACTCAGGAATACTGAATTGCCCACTGCTGTTTCCTGCAACAATAAACAAAACCCTTTGCTTCAAACCTTCAAGGGCCCAGATGTGAGCTTGACTGTCAGCAAACAGGGCTTGACTAGAGGCTTCTGGAAGCTGTAAAGAAAACAGAATTGTGCTTAAAACAGTTCTAATGAGAAGGACTGAAACCTCAATGTGATCTAAGGAAATGGAATATATAGTTGTGGGATTGGAAGACAGCTTGTCTGAATGTTGAAAGCTCCAAAATATTTGGCTTGCGCTCTTTATAGTACGACCATAAAATGATTTCAGTGAAAATGAGGGGAGATTCGGGGGGGCTCCCAAGTTGAACAACCAGTGATAGGCTGTGCTTGGCGTCTCACGCAGCAGTCGGTGCTCGCTGGCCTGTGTGGCACCGTGGGGCTCGCAGCTGGTCCATGTGCCAACGGCCAGCGGGCCCAACAGGGGGGGCATGCCGGAGGAGTGGGCACACAGCCTCTCGTTCTCCCAGGGAAACCGAAAACGAGCAGCAGGTCTGCACCAACCTTTCCGGCTGCGGGGGTGGGGTGGGGTGGGGGGAAGCCAGAACACAAATTTGAAAAAAAAAGAAACCGTCCTGTTCACCGTGCAGGAGACGGACATGAACGCGGACACATGACAGGCATGATGAAGCAACACTAGACGGAGTTAAGACACCCAGAAACCATGCTGTGGGAGAGCGGGTGAACTACAGGAGAATCACATAACAAGCGACACCACTGTGTTGAGCAGCATAATGTTAATCGCAATGGTTGATTTTATGCATCGTGTTAGACAGCTTCAGGATTAGTTACAACAAATACCTGGGATACATCCTTTCAGCTCCAAACTTTAAATAAACACAGAAATTCAACTCCATCAAACTTAATGCTAAATCTATAACACACATGAGGTTTTATACAAAAATCACTTTGTATAAAGCATCTGGTAAAAATCCATTCGAACCGTTAATTACTGCTCGCACAACCATCTGCCTTTAGACAAGTGAACGCTCCAGTTCTAATGAAAACAGGGTATAGTTTTTACTCCTGTGCTGTGGTGTTAACTGTCCTACTAAACAGCAAAATGAAATGAGCTTTTAATTGAAACAGAGCAGTAGGATCCAATATTCACTGCAGCACGAAAATGGACTCCATGCTGTTCAACAGCTGTTATGTCTTTGGCAGATCCCGTGAGCAGTACTTAAACGGCCAAGAATTAGAGCTCAGAACCCAGCCTGCAGGTAAGGACACAGCAGCATGCAGGACATTTATCCCCCATTAAAGCATGCATTTCTCCTTACCTTATTAAATAAATACATTACCAGCACCCGCTTAGCCAAGAAAGTTTTAACCTGAATGAGACAATTAAAAATAAATGGAAAAGGCGGAGGGAAAAAAGCCTCCCTTTTTGTGCATCCAAACAAAAACAGCACTGGCTTAATTGTATATTTTTCGCTGCCTTGTTTAAAAAGAAAACACGTCAAACAAATAGCAAACATTTAAAAAACACACACACAAAAACAAATAAATGCACCAGTAGCGTAACATGTTCCTCGGCTTTGTCATCTCTCATTTTTCAGATTTTCCAATTTGACAAAATTGCAAATGCAGAGCAGACAGTACAGACCACGGAACCGGAGGTCTGTGTGTTATGAGGGTCTGAAAGGGGAGGTTTAGGACGCATATATTGTAACTGAGAAGGACTGAGAGATTAACACTTTAAGTTAACTGCAGGATCACACAATGGGCACCTGTGCTTGGCTGAGGATCTAATGGTGGGGAGGTGCAATTTGTGGGATCATGACTAAGTCAGAATCCCCGCTAAGAGGTTTAGTATTTTGGAAGGAGGCACAAAGAGACTGAGCAAATGTCTGTTCATGTACTGCGCGCCCACGCTTCCCTCTGCGGTACCCACCTGCTCCCGCCTGTTCTGCAGCCACAGGGAGAAGAAGCTGGGCTTGTGCTCCGCTGGGGAGACCCTTGGCTCTGGAGCTGGGGAAACGGCAGGACTCCCATTCGCCAGCGTGTCTGGAACACACGCGCAGGTCTCTCAGGGGGAGGACAGCTGCAAGGAGCTTCCCGCGGCTTCTCGACAATCCCAACGCCCCACTTTCCCCGAGGAGACAAAGCCCCGCTAACTTACCCTTCGTGGAGCGGGAAAAGGATTCCCACGGGAAAAGAAAGGGTCTCAGCCAGTCACAGGGTATAGGCCAGGGGAGGGAAATCTCTGTGCTTCTAGAGACTGGCTAATGTGCCAGTGTTTTTTTCTTTTAATTTCAGCTTAGTTCATAAGCTAAAGCAGCTCATTACTGTCTTACTGGGACCAATATAGCACATTCTCCCAGTTCAAGTGCTGGTGCTTTTTCTAGAGAGCTAGAAAACCTGTAACACACCAGCCCCCCGGGACCAGGACTGCCACTCCCTGGAACTGACATTCCCAAAAACGGGATCTACATGGCAAGCTGGGCATCATGCATATATCCCCTTCATACAAGAGTCCAGACTTTACCGCACTTAACTGTAAAAAAAAAATAAACTACCAGCATGAGGGCACTACAAAATACATATAAATAACAAACAGCCCTTCCTAACATCTACAGCAAAACGTTACGACGCGTAGAAAACATTAGCAGAGTAATAACTCAACATGAAGCTGTAAACCCAGCAGTTAAAACAGCAGGCCGCTGCAAATCAACACCCAGAGGAACTATACCAAACTGCAGCTGAGAACCGTTCACGTTAACACATCGCACCGATGTGTATGAAAAGTTCATATTTTGGTTGTCATTCGGTGCCCCAGATAATAATCAAACAGCACAATCCATGAGGGCCCGGCACTTCAGTGGAGGATGAAGTAGGTCCCTTCTGATATGTCCACTGCTTTTGGGTTAGAAAAGCACTTATAAAAACCCAAGTCTCTGGTTATATAATTATAACATGTTTATGTACACCTACCCCCTAACTGGTCATCTACTGCACTCTCACTTTTATCCAAAGCTGCTTACACTTGAGCACAATGACACAGCTGGGTATTTCACTGGAGCCATTGGACTGACGTGCTTTGCTCAGGGGCACCACAGCGGTGCCGCACCCGGGACTGAAACCCATCACCTTCCATCTACAAGTTAAAAAAAAAAACCCAAACCACTGGCCAAAGTGCTGCCATTAAAACTAAATGTCAAGTATTCAATGATCAATTTCAGAATGCAGAATATTGCCACCCATTCGCTTACGAAACCACTACTGCCCTGCGCTGTTGCCCATCCAAGAGCTTCTACAGCCATTTTTGCGTGTTCACATTCTGATCACGCTGCCAAGGGAATTATGTGTCAGAATGCATCGGGACAAGTACCTCTTGTACTTGTCTTAAGAAGCCGAGGAGGCTACACTGAGAGAACCGATTTCTAGGAGTCACAAAAGGCAGCAAGGAACTAGGGAGCTGTGCTGGAGCATCAGATTATCATACAATGACATCGCACATCGGTGCAGTGACATTATACATTCTGAACCGCAGTTCGGTAGAGGTTTTGACAGATTTTTTTCCCCCTCCGAAGCCAATCGGTGCTCGTGTCCCTTCTCCGAAGGCTCTCTCTACCTGTAGATGAAGTCCACAGTTTGGGTCCCCTCCTCATGACGTGAGGACTCTGCACAGAGCCGTACCAGGGGGAAGCCGGGTCGAGCGTTCTCGCGAAACGCTGGATCGCCGGGGAACCGAACGGGCTTCCGAGATCGGGGGTGAAGGGTGCCGTCAGCGGGCTCCTCAGACCCCCCAGCGAGGACCTCGCCAACACAGAACCGGGCGTTCTCAGCCCGGCACCGGCTCTGGGGGTCTGCACCGGCCACCCGGCCAGTTCTCCCAAACCGGACGGCTCTGAAATCAGAAACGCAACAAATCACCGCGCTGGGGAGCTGACCGCGAGTGCTGGAAACCGCCATCCGGGGGACATCGTTCCGAGCTGTCATGACGTCATTCTACCTGAACTGCTTGAGGAGGAGGAGGAGGAGGATGACTTTTTGTCGCTGCCTGCAGACTGCTGTTTCACTCTCCCATTGGACGCAACAGCTTCGTGGTAAGCAACCAGCCTCCGAGTCAGGTCGCTCAGCAAGCCTAAACACTCGCCGCTTATAGCGGTCCAGTTGTGGGGGTGGCCTCCTGAAAAGCACAAGGGAGAAGAATGTAGATCCAGGAACTCGAGCAGCCAGCTGGTGGTCTAAAGTGAACAGTGGGCAAATCGGTCTCTTAAAACAAGAGGCATCAGATTCCAAACCTACATACCAGGCTGACTTAAGCTGAACACCTCCTGTCTTCTAGACGGCGAATTCTGAGACAGCAAGGCCAAGTCCTGCAGCGCTAAAAACTGAAACAACAACAACAACAACAACAACAACAACAACAACAACAACAACAACAACAACAACAACAAAGTCATGAATAAGGAAAGCTCTGTGGACAGAGGAGTTGTAATTCAGATTTAATATAAATCATAAAATAGAAAGGAAAAATTCCCCTTCATTTCAAATTGCCGCATAAAATCATGCACATTTCACTTGGCTGTGAACACCAGTAGGAATTTCCTCTTTACCTTCAGAATTGGGGGCTGCTGGCCGGTTAAAACTTTAGGAAGGCACTGGCTGGCATTCTCCGAAAACGTCGATTGCACGGGAAACCAGTACATCTTCAGAGGAACAGAAGATTTTAGAAAAGGTGATCAAACTCAAGTCTCTGAAGTATGAGCGAGCGCACACAAGTGAAGGCTGAATAATGGCGATAAATGTTGTTTTTTTTTACTTTTACAAGTTGCACCGAGATCATACAAACCTCCGTGATATAGATTCTGAAGAGGAGCCATGTGATGTACCACATTACCAGAAGAAAGGTACCAGTTATCCACAGATGGAACATCAGAGAAAAGTCCAGGAGCCCTGCCAGTGTATCCAGTGCGTGAAGAGTGCTAAAAAAAGCAAGTTAAACAAAGTATTTTTTAACACGGAACAAACAACACAGGAATTATTGTTAATAAAGGTTGCCAATCCATTTTTTTGGCCCCTAAACGCACGGCAAAAGAAAGTATGTTTTACATACGAATAATTGTAAAATACATAAACTTTTCTTGAAAAAATGTCAAAATAAGAAAGGATTACAAACTTTACTAACCTGTCTCTACTGAGGTTCATGGTTGTACAGATCCATGCTCTGGGGATATAGCCTTAAGGAAATAACATCAAGCATTAAAATTACATTAAACATTAAGGCTAAATACTATAAAAGCAATATTTTCTCTTTTGCGTCCAATTTTATGTATGCCAAATCTCCTCAGTAGTTTTTTCTACCATAGAGTTTTAAAGGAACTCCTACTGTTAATGGTAAAACATGAGTTTATGCATTCACACTTACGGTTTACAAAATATTTATACGTACAGCATTCTGTAATGTCACATGATTATGCACTTAGGGTATATAAAGAAGCAACACAATGTGATTTAAAAGAAAAACAAATATTCAAGAATTTCCTTACCCAAGAATAAATATGTAATGCAGTAGTTCCGCACTGAATACAATGACTGAACTGCGCTGTGTTTAATCACCACTGGTAAGGTTCCCTTGAAGCGCAAATACTTGTATTGCTGAAACAAAGCAAAATACAAGTTAGGCCTTGTATTTTAATACTATAAAAAATTACAATTGAGTATTAAATCAGACTAATATTGTTAATGCATTGATATGTTCACTTCCACACAGAGGGCTGAATTCCTAAATTAAAACACACATAGTTATCCATACATGATGTCTATAGACTACTGTTAGTGCTAAACGCTGTGGAAAATGCCCATTTGAACAGCTCAGCTATGATCAGTCCTTTTATGCTTAGTAAGCCTTTTAAACAGCACAGCAAATGTTTCCTTATTTAGTTATTTAACTGATCATTCAACGCATACGGGTTGCAATTGGCTGTTTATTGAATGTCAAGGTCGATGGTTTTATTAATTCCTTTTCACACAGGAGCTTTATTCAACAGTTTAAGCGTTATTTGACTATAGATTTTATACAACTTAAATATAAGTCAATAATATTTAAATAAAATAAGAGTTTTTTTAAATATGAGAAAATAAAGACCTTTCACTGATGTAGAAAGTTTGAGTGATGGAAGGTGACAGTGGCTGGAAAAACGCTGACACAGCGACAGCGCATGTGTGTGCTACCCAAGCCATTCTATTCATCCCAGCATGCACCTGGGCACACGCCGCACATACTGTCTTGAACACTCAGACAAGTTGCCCATTGGCAGCTGCACAAAACCATGTTAAAGTGAGAAATAACCCGTCTTCAATTCAGAAGCAGTACATGTATCGGGTGCCCATTAAACCAAAAATGCCCAAAATAAGATCGGGGAAGTCAAGCACTACCTGGACGGTCCTTCTGGCCATAAATGTGGACATATTAAATGTTTTCACAATACGTCATAAAATAATGAGCGCGTGCAAGGGTAATATGAAAATGGCCCTTCAAGGCCCAGTACCTGTATGGTCTGAAAAGAGACATAGTTCATGTTTTTAACAACACTGAGCAGACTGTAGCTGTACCCCATGAAAGCACCAGCCAACAGGAAGAAGAGATGGTACTCATTGAGGCACATCTGATGACTGCCAGGAAAAATGAAAGACAAACAATCGTTAGTCATTGCAAAAAAAAAAAACCAACATTCATTTTGGCTTCAAACTCCCATAAAACACATCCTGTATTGATATTGTTTTGTCCCCTCAGGACACACGTGGGCACAGTGATTAGATCTGCTTCACGAGACACTTCTTCACATTTCAACAACAGCGGCATCATAATAGGTTGTATGCTAACTGTACTTTTGCCAAAACTCTTACTTTTCTCATTGCCCTGAGTTAAGATCTTGGCTTGCTGGAAAAAATAAAAAATAAATCTTCAAAACTGTGGGGCATGTACTCACCTTTCCTCTGAATGACAAGGCTTGGCAAAAACGTGGTATCTTCCCCCGATCATGACTGCTGCACACCAAGACACCAGCAACCCCATCAGACAGTGAGCCAAGGAGTGGATAAACTGCTGAGGGTGAAGCACCTTTCCAATCAGAGCTATCTTAGTGCAGGGAATTGATGGCACCACTGCAAGGCACAAACAGCTCACTGTGAGGATTCTTAAGGAATCAAGAAAACACATGGGGCATTTTAATACTTGACATTAAAACACACTGGAGATACCTGTGTAATACTGCAGATCGAAAAAGCCAACAACCAGCACCACCAAGCACAGAAGAACCACAGAAAAAATAACATAGGAACCACCCAGGACGCTCAGTGAATCTGAAACACAAGGAAGGTTTCCTTTCGTTTAAAAGAAAAGCTCACGTCAAAGGAAATACTTCCACATCTCCCTTGCAGAGTTACTGTATGTAAAACAAAGAATAAACATGAAATCACAACAGCCTCTTTGAAAATAAGTGTTTAGGCAGGAAGGGGTGCGACAAACCATTTAAATCTCTGCCAGTTCTTGCCAGCAAGTAATACTGAAAAAAACCTAACAGTTACAACTTAACTTTTTCACAATACATTAGTTACATTCACCCCAAGTACTAGAAGAAAATACAGACCTCTACCTTTATAGACCTAAACATCTGTACATTGTTTGAAAGGGTACATCTGCATTCTGTTCTACTCTTTAGTATTATTTAGTAGCAGAGGAATGGTTTAATAGATTTCTAAAGGACAATTTCCGGAAAAAAAACAACCATGAGGATGGTAACCCTGACAGGCAAAGACACCCCTATAATGCAACCCAATTTGTATAAACCAGTTGGCATCTTTGAAAACTAAAAATGTCAGAAATATTGTATGGAGTCTATTGGCACCCTGTGTGGAGTCTCGAACAGTAGATACAATGAAAGTCCATTTGAATTTCCCACAAACACAAGATGGTTTGGATGGATATAAGGTGGTGGAGGACCTTTTCATCTTTTGTGTTTTTTGCCACAGAGTAGTTTTACCTACGGACAGCTCCTTCTATTAAATGTTTTTGTTTTAAAAACCATATATATATATAATGCCTGAGCTACTATAGGGAAAGAAAATATCACAGGACATGTTCACACCTGATATCCATTGCACAGGATGGAACAGATCAAGATGGCTCAAAAACACAAACAGTGCTGTAATAACTGGTAACAACAGCACTGACCAAGCAATGCTTGCTGCTGCCCTCCAACATATCACCTAAAAACAAAACAAAAAAGAGAAAATGAGCAAAAACAAACAAAGCAGGGGTCCTCATAACATATACCCAACAGATGGAGAGCCCCGCAGTGTGGCTGTCCAGCACGGATTTTGTGACGATTTTTTACATCTCCAAGATGACTCATCCTGGCTGCAAAATTGGGCTTGACGTCTGTATGAAATTAGATTTGGGCACTCAAGTCCGAAAGCTTCGATCTGCCCTTACCAAAAGGCACACGTGCCGAAAACAAAACCAATGACTCGTCAACATAGACCGCACTCAAGACATTTAGTTTGCACAGTGGTTTCTTCTTCTTTATAAGACATCTAAATAAAGATCACTTAAAGTAGCAGCAATCACAGTTAAGTTCTTAATCAAGGAGTTTTGTCTACACAACACTGTTAACTTAACCTTAAAAAACATTAACTTGGCTCAATTCAACATCTGTGTGGCGTTCTCGAGAAGAAAGCAATGTCAGGGTTTGAATACCCAGTCTGTTTTGTTCTGGATATACAGTTTAATCCTAAACAGCAGTGATAGAGCCTTAAAAATGTCCTTGCATGAGAGATTTTGGTTTAGTGATTTCACCTCCACCTTGTAAAGATGCATTTTCATGATATCATTTCAATAATGTATCATATGACTGTTTCTAGCGCACAGTGCAATCACAAACCAAATGTGTCTTAGGGCTGTGTCATTAACAGTGAATCCTTTGAACATAAGAACATAAAGTTCACAAATATAAGGAAACAAGTTTTACCCATTTGGTAGTTAGTAGTTAACTGATCCACGAATCTCATCCAGAAGTTTGTTGAAGGAAATCAGAGTTCAACAACACAGCAGGGTAGCTTGCTACACTCCCCCGCAACCCTTTGAGTAAAGAAGGGCCTCCTTTTTCTTGGTCTTAAATTAACATTTCACTGTTCATTCAAAGGAATCCACTGGCTTGACTTTGTCAAGAGCCTTTGAGGATTTTGAATACTTGTGTTGGGTTTCCTTTCTTCTACATAAGCCTAACTGCCTAGTCACTGTTTGCCTGCTCGCTAAAAGCTTAAAAAGGAACCCAACTTTTTTCAGCAGTTTTCCCCTAAAATTCATTTGGTTTATGGCTGGTGAAATTCAGTTGGTTTGGGCTTACATCGTGACTTTTACATGCGCTGAAATGTGTAACACTAGATCGCTTTTTCAGTCATTTAGATACTGTTTTATTGTAACTGTCGTGCTTGGGTGCAATTTTCATTTCGTTGTTTTATGCAATTTTAAAGATCTGAGACAAACGTATCTCGATTCGGTGAATATGCTTTGAATTAAGGATATTTCCTTTAAAGCCACGGTACAAAAGTCTAATTTGATGACGCCTTCTACAACGGAAAGATGAATTTCATTCCTTATTTTCCTGTTTAGCAGAACAACAATACTTGTGTTTGATCTTTTTCATGAACAGCCCTTAATTGAACAGACTTCAAACAGTAAAAACAACAGCTTACCTTTCGAATGAACCAATGGTCCTGCCCAAACGAAAGCATGACTTAAGAGCAACGATAAAACCACACATTAAACGAGGAAAATCTAATTATCATATGATATTATTCCGCGTTTATTTAAAAAAAACAACAACATACAATTCAAACACATAAGAAAGTCTTTTTCAGCCGCACGCCGCGCCACTTGCATTCAAAGGACCTCGCTAGGACCCCAGCTGGCGTTACTTTGTCCACTTCATGCCTGATTAAAAATCAGTTTGGGATTTCAAGATGCCACGGTAGCTGTTGGACGCCTGTCTAGTGTAAAAAAAAAATGAAAGTTTGTATATAAATTATGCGTTAAATACACATTTCTTGTTTTTTCTCTACTTTCCTTTCTTTTAAAGTAGAGCGGGACCGGGGACAAACACAAACAACCCGCAATAACATCATCTTTGTGGATGGAAAATGTCAATGAGCTTCAGATGTGCAAAAGTTGATATCTTCTTAAATATCAGGAATGTAACCTTTGTACAAGGCCTATTTTCGTCTTACGATTCTTTGACTTTTGTTGTTGCATTATTTCGCCAGTAAATAAAACATCATCACGGAAAATATGACTTATGTCCGAAGAGGATAGTGCGTTTACATGATTTACTACAAAGCATATGTAGGATGTACACATATTTATAAACACAAAGCATGCATGCAGTCGTTTTGATCGACATAAATTCATTTGTAGTATTTACATATTTCGTTTTTTTTATAAAACACTGTTATATACATTCACATTTTGTTTATCTGCTCTGTTTTTGGCATATTTAGAAAGCTATATGCAATCATGCTTAAAATTCCATTGCAAATTCCAAAGACAAAAGTCACCAACGAAAAGTGTATTTTTATATTCCTCAAGTAACCATCTGTCGCTAAAACAAAACATGGTCAACACAAGTAAATATCAACAAGGCAAAATTGTAAATGTGTGTTTGTCTGTCCTTTGCCCAATGTCTTGCAAGCCTTTGGGATTCGTGTTGCGCACATAGTTTCGTATTTTCAAAAATGTTTATTCGTTTTGTTTTTAAATAATCAAAATTGTTTGTTTTTTTTCGCCTGCTTGTAGTATACTCGAGTCGCCGCATTATGAAACACTAATGAAATCATTCACTGGCAAGCAACCATCTGAACAGAAAGAAATGAACAGTAGCGGACGTCATCCTTGTAGCAGGTGCCCGGTTGATCCCAGACGCCTCCAGCAATTTGCTTTTACAATGGTTTTGAAGCAGTAACATTGTACAAAATGCAACAATTCTCTCACTGGGGCAATAACCACGGACGGCGCTGTCTTCAGTTCTCAGCCCCACATTTAATTATGCACACCTCTCCATTTGTCCGCATACGATGGGGAATGAAATGTACTTTCAATCGGTGGTGTCCTCAGCTTCACAGATCCAGCAGCGCTTTCCGAGCTTTTCAGTCTCTCGGTGTCCCGTTGAGTTTGTCTGAACTCCCAGGAGCTGGTGGCAAGTCTCTGACACATGTGTACGGGGGGTCCAGTTTGGACAGATTTGTTGGAAACCTGTAGTTGCGCAGGCCTTTGATTTATAGCCGGCAGGGCCAGCTGCTCCCTCTCTGTCCTCTTGTCCTCCCAGAGTTTTAACAACCGCCTCTGGTTGTTAGTCATGTCCTTGAGATCGCGTTGCAAAGATGACACCCGTTCCTCTAAAATCGCTTTGGATGTCGCAACGTTGGAGAGCTCAGACGCAAGGTGGTCCATCCGCAGTTTAAACTTTCCATTTTCCTCGGTCAGCCGATCGCACAGTTCCTCTGTATCTTTCAAATCACTGATTATATCCTTCGTAGTTTTCCCTCGGAATTTAGGATCCGACTCCAGTCCAAGGTCGGTCCTAAGACTCTTCACAGTTTTGCGCAGCTCTCTGTTATCAGAAGAAAGGTTTTTAATTTTCTGCTTGAGTGATTCAGTTTGAGTTCTTACCTTGTTCTCAGACACTCGCAGTCTTTCTTTAAGTGCGCTTTCTTTCTGCAGCGCGTCGTCTCTTTCCTTTCTATATTTTTCTACAAGTTTTAAAGCCTCCGATCTCGATGAAATTTTTTCTCTGGCGTTTGGAGAGGCCATAACACTTGTTGGTGTTACGCGCTAAAATGCATAAATGAGAATGTTCATTATGCTATGTTCAAAATGATAAGTTTTTAAACTTATTTCAATTCAGCTGAGAATCATGATACGCATCATGATAAAGTTGACGACACATAAAGATTCCGCTTTTTAAAAAAATACATATTTTTTTTTACGAATGTAATCGATATTTTATAGCCCTATGATTGGAAAATAATACCAGTAGAACCTCAATGTCCACACTTGTTTTTACTCTGAAACAAAATTGTGGTCTTTATATAAACTCGGGTCTATATGGCGAGAACTAACACCCATGTAACCCTAAGCTAAGGGCTAGAATGACCATTAATTAGTGGGAACCTTACCATTTACACAGTATCAAATGATATTTGTTACTTTGTTAATTAGAAACCAGTACTTTGACGAGGTAACACGGAATTTATTCCTTAATTCCTTACGACGTCCCCAACACGTTTGTAGTTGTTTTCAGATTTAATTCATAAATTACCTCAAAGCAGCATTAGTGTTAAATTGGTGAATTTGAAGTGAACAGGGTCAGGATGGAGGTAGAGGGGATCATGGAGCCATGCTATGGAGACGCGTCTTTATGCCAGAAACTTTATACTGAATATCAAAACAAATATGGACAATCAAAAACTCTTAACAATTCATAACTTCCATAAACAGTCAGACAGACTCGTCTGAAGGCATTTCCTTTAATTTGATACATATTCTTTGGTTACATTCTTCCTCCTTTAATATTTAAGTGCTGGAGTAGTACAAGTGTACTGTTGAATAGGCTGGCATCAACCTCCAAGTGCAGCACACTGGATATGTAGGGGTGTGAATCCAGACACCCTGCTCTATGGGCAAGAAAACCGTCCCAGGCAGCCAAAGCTCAGGCCAATGACTGATTAATTAATGAAGTAATTAAAATGACCCAATTTCTGGGTCAATGGAAATACATATTAAAAACATTAAGATCTGTGTTGAACTTTTCCAGTGTTATTTTCTGTTGTTGCTACTCTTCAGCTGCTCAGCTTATGTTATGGTAAGAAATAACATTAACAAAGGAGTCATTTTAGAAACATTTATTCACCTCTTTCACCAGCATCGAGTTTGGCCTGGACATAGGTTTTCCCAGGCACGGCAGGACTTTCATATTGTTTTTGTAGCAAAAAATACAAAAAATGCCCACAAACCCCACCCTTAATGAATGGTGTAATTGCTAATTTAACCTAAAAAAGAGCTTGTTGAAATTAATAATAATATAATAAACACCTTTGATAATAAACCACCTTTCTGAAAATGCCTACAATAACCAGGTTTTATACAACCAATAAATAGGTAAACAAGTTACCACCTGACTCTGTTTACACCTTAATACACACCCTTGTATTGTACATTCTACACAATGATTGTAATTCCCAATGCCAGTCTTTAAGGCCATTTAAAATACCTCTCATTAAAAAGCTCAGTCTGGTTCCTGTATTTCCTTCTAGGTGCCTTAATATGAAAAAAACTGTTCATATCATAACCCAGTTCACTGCACTGGAGAGATCCAGTCTTCTCATCTTCAGTGTAACGTCTGTGCAATAAGGTTACGAAAGGAACCTGAAATTAAAATGAAAGAATGCCATGGAAAAAGTCACAAAAAGTGTGTTAGGTCACAGTTTCTGTCCTAAAATATGAATCATAGACACCAGCTTGCTCATTTTTTCTTTTTTTTTTCAGGTGGATAGGGTGTACTGTTTATTGAAAAATAATATCAAACACTCTAAGCTTTTGCTTAAAAGCTTTGTTTGCAGTTTTTCAGTATTTGTATCATAAAAAGCAGGTGTACAGGTAAGTATCTGTATTGAAATCATTAGCATACAGGCCTAACACCTCCACCTGTCTGAAAACCAGTGCTGGTGACAGAATTCCAGAAATATATTAAAAAACTGGCAGGATCTATCAGCAAAGGGACTTTCAACATTAGCCGCACAAGAATAGAATCGGACTGTACAAATGGTTAATTTAAACATTAGCCCTCCCCATTTTCTCTCGTTGAGTAATGTTCAGAGGAAAAAGGGCACTGCCAGGAGATTAGTCTTTATGTGTAAGAACACAAACAGGGACTGCCACTCTCATTTTTTGGGGCAATGATATTCTGAGTAACAGAAAACATTATCTATGTAACATGTACGTTATACATGCCAATGAAAATCAGCTTGAAATACAAATGAGTGGCCATTGTCATTTCTGCCTGTTTACACAAAACAATTCTCTTGAAAGGGCATTTTAAAACCTCGGTTAAGGTACATTTTTTCCTCCCTCTATTTCTGACATTCGGAGCAAAGAAGATAATACTGTTATTATTCCACAGGTTTCCATTACTCTTGCACAGCAGGGCTCAGAAGAATGCACCTTACCTACAGCAAGTGTTTAATTAAGGTGGGCCTTCACTGCTGCCACTGTCTGGTTGGACGCCGTGGGGCCAGCGTTGCCCAGCCCGACTTCTTGTGAATCAAAAAAGTATTGCTGCGGAAATGAGAAAACCAGAAGTCTCAGCTCTGAGAGGTTCAGGTGTCTTGGCTGCTTTATTTGGGTCTTGGCAGTAGCAGACACACATGATAAATGGCAGGGGACACCTGACACCCCTGCAGACCCAAGCGGTTCCACACCTGAAACATAGCCTTGTGTGGACTAACTGGCAGTGTTCCATAGAGGTCTATGGCCAGTGTCAGTGTTTCCATTAAAGTCCTCCAAAGAAAACTAACACGACACCCAGCTCTGAGTGTTGCACATTCAGATAACTGCCAACTACCACAATTACAGCTGTCTGTGGGCAAGGTG